GAAGCCTCTAGGGCTTCATCCTCAGCAACTGCAGTGCTCCGTGTCATTTCCTCAATTAGCAGACTGAGGGAGGGATAGGTTTGCTGAGGGACTGGCGTGAGGAGTCAACAGCCTCGTCTGGAGTATGTGGAGGTCAAGTTGTCTGTTACACATCCAAGGGGGGACGTAAGCAGACGTGCAGACCAGGAGCTCAGTGGAGAGGAGTACAATACCTGTTAACCAACAGATATTTTTGATGACTTATCCTGCACCAGGAGCTGTTCCAGGCATGGTGATGTGGCAGTGAACAAGGTCATCTCATTCTTGCCTCCTAGAGCTGGCCCTCCGGTGGGAAGAGTAAGATAACACTCAAATTCAGTACTGAATCATGATTTAAAGGGCTTCCGCCTCGTGGAGATGTGCTGTGGAGGAAAAGTAGGCATGGAAGGGAGGTATGGAGCCTAGGACATCACAAAAGGTCATTTCATGAAAAATCAAAAACAAAAAAACACTTTCTACTACTAAGTGGACATTTACCTTGTGTCACCAACAAGTCTCAAAAGAGCAAGGGATTTGCAGTGCTTTGAGGAGCTCACCTGACACCTGAGGACCCTCCTTGCTGAAACGCCACCTGCACAGGTGTGCACTGAGGTGCCAGACCCAGCAGGCTGAGGGGTGCAGGTGGAGTTCAGGAGGAGCTGAGGGCCCTAGTTTGTTGCTCATTTTTGTGCTTTGGAATGAAGTAGTTTCACATGTGGAAAAAAAATAAGTGGATTGTTGAATTAACAAAAACGGGGGCAAATTCTCAACACTGTTGAGATGAAAATGGTCCCAGGGAATGCTAAAGAGAATTTGAGCCATGGGCTATTCCTGTAGTCAGAGTGAAGGGTTGTGAGCTGCAAAAGCAGCAGTTGGAAAGGCTGAGTCCGTGTGTGCCGGAGGAATGCATACAGGTGAAAGTCGCCGGCTCCGTCTCTGTCTCAGGTGGTGGGGGCGGCAGAGATGCCACAGCTGTGGCTGAGACAATGGCTGAGTGAACAGTGAGACTGGATTTTCCATACTGACTGAGTGCTGATATCTGAAAAGTGGAGCTGAGAACAGCAGCCTGGGTCACTGTGGGCAGTGGCTGGAGATGGCCATCTCCTGCCAAGGGGGCCTGTGAAAGAGGAGGTTGGAGACCAGAACAAGGCCCCAGGTCAGTGCCGGTGGGTGCCCGTCCCGAGAAGGTATGCACAGCGGCAGACATTGTTTATTCCCCCAATTGAATAGCCCAAAAACGTCCCATAAACTGTCCTTGCAGTGAACCACTGATTCTGCCCAAACCGTCACCACCAACACAGCCAGGTCAGCTCCAGCACAGGAAGTCACATGGCCAGAAAAGGGCCATCAGCCACATCAGTGCTGACACTGAGAGCAGTGCATTCTTCTGCCACCTGCTTGGGAATGTCTCTGCAATGCACCATCAAAGCCACACAGAGTGTCCCCGGCATGTGGCTGGAGGCTGCTGCAGGCCTGCAGTTGCTCCCCGAGACCTGGCCACGGCCTGTCTCACTTCCTTTCCATTCACTTCAACATGGGATTCATGCCCGAGTGCCAGCAGCCATGTACTTATTAGGGACAAGCCAATGAATTTTAAAAATCGTAGCTATGTTAAGATTTATATAAATTAAAAAGTATTTGCTCACATTTTATTTAAAATTTTGTTCCTACAAAATTGCTATCTCAGTGGGAGCTGATGGTGCAGTCTGCTATTCTGCAACTACATGGAAAGTAACCTGGGCCCTGCAGAGGGGACACGAGCATCAGGGCCAGGTACATAATGAGAGGGGTCTTTGAGCTGGATCTGCAAGGATGACAGAGGTGGCCGGGGGAAGAGCTGCGTTCCCCAGTGGAAGGCATGTGTGGTGAGGACGGGAAGGGCCAGCCACAGCATCCTGGTGCAGTCCAGCGTGGTCTGTGGACTGGGCATGTTGGAAGAGGCAGGGAGGGCTGAGGTGTGCTTTGAGGGAGGACTGGGCAGCTGGAGAGGGAGGTGTTAGGAAGCAGGAGGCAGAAGGTGAGGGGTGAAGGGCAACAGTGGAAGGGACAGGGTTAGCCCAGGCAGGGGTCATGGATATAGGCAGTAAGGAGCATGCACCAAGGGCACTTGGAAGATGAACTCCAGCGAATGCAAGGCCTGCAGAGGACTCCTGGGTTCCCAGCTGGAGCATCACCCGGGCAGGGAAGGCAGAGGAGATAGAAAGCCCGGTCTCGGATGGTGTCAGAGGCCAGCATCTGCATCGTCGGGGTTGCAGGAACAGCAGTTCCCCAGGCCCTGGGTGTGTCAGAGCCCCCAGACCATGTGGAAGTCTGAGATGGGCTGGGTTGCAGGGAAACGGTGGAGATGAGTTTGGAGGCCTGAGAAGACCCACTGCAGGAAAAGGGTGGAATGGGGGAAAGGCAGGCTGAGGGCCGTGGCTGACCTGCAACAAAAGCACTGTAGAAAGTTTAGCCCGAGGGGAAAGCAGTCGGAAGAGAAGTGTTTCTTTTAAGAGACTCCCAGAGCACCGTTTCCAGAGATGTCTTTTTGTTACCAGCATTCTTAGACTCAAAAGTAAATGTGGATATACTTTTAAAAACAAAAAGACCTGCTAAGAGATGAATTTTTGGAAACTTGTTGGACAAAGAAAAGAAATTGATAGTCAACTGCAATGAGAGGTAAGCCAGGAAATGATGATTAATATCCTCAAATTATAAGAAAAGCCACGCCTCATGAGGGGCTTGCCCAGGAGAACTGACGTGAGGATACCGTCTGGGGAAACCTCTGTTGCCTGTGTCAGGCTGACACTTTTACGTTTTGTAGCCCCTATAGGAGAGTGCAGATTGAGAAGAAACCGCTTCACATTGTTGTAGTGTGGGGTCTGTGGTGTGGTGCACTTCATGTGTGTGTTTTGTGTGTGTAGTGTATATGTAGTGTGTGTGTTGTGTATAGTATTGGTGTGTGTGTGTGTGTGGTGTAGTTTGTGGTGTGTGTGTGTAACGTGTGTGATGTGTAGTGTGCATGTAGTGATGTGTTTCCTGTGTGTTTTGTGTATGTCGTGTGTATATAGTGTTGTGTGTGTTATGTGTAGTGTATTGTTTGTGTAGTATGTATGTAGTTTGTGTATGGTGTGTGTAGTGGGTTGTGTGTAGTGTGTATGTAGTTTGTGTGTGTATGGTGTGTGTGCAGTGTATGGTGTGTGTAGTGTGTGTAGTGTGTATGTAGTTTGCATTTGGTGTGTGATGTCTGTAGTGTGTTGTGTGTGGTGTGTATGTAGTTTGTGTGTGATGTCTATAGTGTGTGGTGCGTATGTAGTGCATGTATGGTATATGTTCGTAGTATGTGCGGCATGCATGTAGTGTGTGTGTGTGGTATGGGGTGTGTGTGTGTAGTATGATGTGTGTAGCGTGCATGTAGTGGTGCGATAGGTTTCATGTGTTTTGTGTATACAATATGTATGTAGTGTATCCTGTGTTTTGTGTAGTGTATTTTGTGTGTGTGTGTGTGTGTGGTGTTTATGTAGTTTGTGTGCATGGTGTGTGTGTGATGTGCACCGTGTACCTGTAGCTCACAGTGTGTGTGTGTAGTCCGTGTGTGGTGTCTGTAGTGTGTGTGGCACACATGTTGTGTGCATGTGGTATAACGTGTGTGCGTGGTGTGTGTGTAGTGCATGTGTGGTATGTGTTCGTAGTGTGTGTGGCATGCATGTAGTATGTGTGTAGTGTGATGTGTATAGTGTGCATATAGTAGTGTGATGTGTTTCATATATGTTTTGTGTGTATAGTGTGTATGTAGTATAGCATGTATTGTGTGTAGTATATTTTGTGTGTGAGGTGTGTATGTATTTGTGTGGTGTGAGTGTGATGTGCACAATGTGCTTGTAGTTCATGGTATGTGTGTGTAGTGCATGTGTGGTGTGTGTCTGTAGTGTGCATGTGGTATAAGGTGTGTGTGTGTGGTGTGGGTGTGTGTGTGTGTGTGTGTGTGGAGCATGAGGGGCATGTGTTTTGCTCCCTGGATAATTGGATGAAGTCATCTAGATAATTTCCCATTTATGACCAGTCCTTTAAGTTAAAATGTGCCTCGTTGGATACTTTTGGGGCTGGCAATATGTAGTATTCTCATTTATAACCATGACCGAGAGGAAACATTCTCCGTGTTAAATACACACTGGCCACCTTCCTTTTTGCTTCTGAGACGTATTTATTTACTGTGCTGAGATGTCCTCGTGGGCTGGGAACCGCCACTATCTCTTTAACCCGGGCCCTGCTGATGGGAAGTGGCGGTGCCCAGGAAGTGGTCTGGAGAAGCGGGGAGGGGACAGCCTGTGGGCCCCAGGCCCCGGGAGCTGGGAGGGTGTTACTCTTGTTGCTGTCACAGCCCTGGGCTGAAGGTGGGAAGACCGTGTGGTGACCACAAGTCGCAGTTCCGTGTGGGCCCTCAATGTGGCCTCACTTCACCTCTGGGGCTCAGCACCGGCGTGTGACTGACTGCTCCAGGCGGTGTCTCGCAGCCCCGGTGGGTGAGGCGGTGGTAGCGTCCTCCCTGGTACTGTCACTGTGATGAGGAGCGAGCCTTCTCTAGCTGCCTGGACTCGGGAGGAGCCGCTGGCTTGTGTTCAGGTCAATTCTGCCTCCTGTGTGCTGCTGGGACCCTGAGGGTGAGCCCGACAGTCCTGTTTTACCACTGTCCTTCTGTTTGCTTCTCTTAGTGGTGTGTGTATTTTTAGAATTCTTTGTCTCCCCACCAACCTCCCAAAAAAGAATTATTTAATTTGATCACTTTCATCAACTGCTCTGATTTTAGCTTATTTAGAGGGCGTGCTGGAAACTAAAATGATGGTGTGAGCAGAAAGACAACAGCGTGTTGGGAGGGCCACAGAGGAAAGTGCTTCTGTTCAGAGCCGGAAGGGTTTGCCTCCACTTTAAAAGCATGTGAGTGGTTTTAGCAAACGTTCCCTGCCACGTGGGTTCCTCACCAAAGTTCTCTCTGTCTTGCCCAGGTGGACACCTGCGCAGGTGTGCGCCCTCCGGCCCCTGAAGCATGGCCAGCAGCAGCATGGCTGACAGCGCCAACCACCTGCCCTTCTTCTTCGGCAACATCACCCGGGAGGAGGCAGAAGATTACCTGGTCCAGGGGGGCATGAGTGACGGACTCTATTTGCTGCGCCAGAGCCGCAACTACCTGGGCGGCTTTGCGCTGTCCGTGGCCCACGGGAGGAAGGCACATCACTACACCATCGAGCGGGAGCTGAACGGTACCTATGCCATCGCCGGTGGCAGGACCCACGCCAGTCCCGCTGACCTCTGCCACTACCACTCCCAGGAGTCCGATGGCCTGGTCTGCCTCCTCAAGAAGCCCTTCAACCGGCCCCAGGGCGTGCAGCCCAAGACTGGGCCCTTTGAGGACCTCAAGGAAAACCTCATCAGGGAATATGTGAAGCAGACGTGGAATCTGCAGGTGGGTCACAGCTGGTCCTACTACCTGGACGCAGGGGCCCTGTGGCCCCACACAGACTTCCCAGCTGCTGCAACACCTATACCTAAGTGCGCTGTGTGCCCAAACAACACAACCGTCTCCTTAGGCATCAACTTTGGCCAAAAAAATACCTCTCTCTAATACGAGCCTTTCCTCTTTCGCAGCCACAGTTGAGAGGGTGGGCCCCTTTGAGCTAGCAATGTGAGTTTCTCCACTGCAGGGAAACACGGTTACCCAGCACGTGGAGGGCCTTTTCGGAGAGGCATTGATAGATATTGATTGGTTTCTGTTTAGCTGGCAAGGTCCTACTGTACACATTGACAGGCACTGAATTTCATAGCTTCCTAATATCTCTTGCAGAACTTTCTGTGTCAACACCTATAGTAGCTGCATTGCCCATTCTTTGGCTGTCTGGTATCACTTGCTATGCACCACAGTTTACTTAACTAGTACCTATTGATGGACACATTTCCCGTTTATGAATAAACGCTGTTAATAACATTGCTCTAGACCTAACATATACGACACTTGTATGTAGCATCTGCAGGATAAAACTTTGAAAGAGTTGGCTTTACCACAGCAAAGGATATGTATGTTTGTTTGTTTTATTTTTTGAGACAGAGTCTGACTCTGTTGCCCAGGCTATGGTCCAGTGGCGCGATCTCAGCTCACAGCAACCTCTGCTTCCTGGGTTCAAGTAATTCTCCTGCCTCAGCCTCCTGAGTTGCTGGGATTACAGGCATGTGCCACTGTACCCGGCTAATTTTTGTATTTTTAGTAGAGACAGGGTTTCACCATGCTGGCCAGGCTGGTCTCAAACTCCTGACCTCAAGTGATCCACCCTCCTTGGCCTCCCAAAGTGCTGGGATTACAAGCGTGAGCCACTGTGCCCAGCCATATTATTTTTATTTATACACTTGAAAGTACTTAAGTAATGTGTAAAGGTCTTTCTGGTTTTATTTATTGAATGAATGAGTGAATGAGGTTTGATTCTGTTTTACCATGCTAGGACTTGAGACAGATTGGATCATTTTCAATTTTCCTCTGTATGGTTTACTCTGCTCTGCTCTCCACGTGGCAGGGTCAGGCTCTGGAGCAGGCCATCATCAGTCAGAAGCCTCAGCTGGAGAAGCTGATCGCCACCACAGCCCATGAAAAAATGCCTTGGTTCCACGGAAGAATCACTCGGGAAGAATCTGAGCAAGTTGTCTTGATAGGATCAAAGACAAACGGAAAGTTCCTGTGAGTATTCCACCTTCCCCTCTCCTCCTGCCACCAGGCCTATGTGGACAATTGGGAATAGTTCAGCTTCCCCATGACTGGCCTCACATGACCCTGGGAAGGGGCCATGCATTGTCATTGAACAACGTGCATGCTTGCCTGTTCTAAAGACACTTCTAACTGAAGCTATCACTTGTGACCCAGTCTTTATTTTGCGCAGTCTGTTCTAAATGAGCACTCTTTTGGGGCGCTGAGGGACATAATATGTAAAGAAGATGTAATTCAGCCCCATGTTCTCCTTTTAAAGGCAAATTATGGAATGCATAGCAAATCCTGTGGTTATCCAATTAAAACAAAAATAACTGCAGTTTGCTCAAACTACCCCCTTGATCTCAGACTTTACTTCTATTTTTACTTGAAACAAGGTGTCAGCAGGAAGGACGTTAAGGAAAATTTCCTGGGAGTAGCGTCTGTGAGTGGTGAGTGCAGGTCCGTGGGCTTCAGCCGTAGGCACACGATCATTAGCAGGTCTGTCTGAATCCTGGGTTCTGTTTGCTGTCCTCAGTGGTTCAATATAAATCTAATTGTAGAAGGTTCTGAGATACAGCCCAACTTGGGCAGTCAGTTGTCCAGAGAAGGTAAGGAACTGTCTTTGGGAGGTGTCAATCTTGTTTCCGGGAGTTGTTTTGGTCAAGGTGGCCCAGCGGGGCAGTTGTCCCTGGGGGAAATAATCCCCTGTGTGTGTCACCTCTCAGTGTCCCTACAGAGATGCTTGCCTTGGAAACAACCAGAAACAGCGATGCAGTCTCATGATCAGGCCGTCGATGAACCCCCACCTGACTTTGTAAACATTTCCCAGATTTAGAAGTGTTGTCTCTGCATGTCTATCCATTTAAAGATTCCTCAGACTTTACCATCAGACCTCGTATCTTAAAAATGATCTTAGCTGAGTGCTGTGGCATGCACCTGTAGTCCCAGCTACTCTGGAGGGGCGGACAAGAGGCTCGCTTGATCCTCACTATGATCTCACTATGGTTTGAGGCTGGCATGAGATCAGCTTGGGCAACATAGTGAGACCCTGTCTCAAAAAAAAAAAAAAAAAAAAAAAAGAAAAAGAAAGAAAAGGAACACGATACTCTTAAAAAGAAGAAGAAGAAAAAAGGAAGAGTGGCCCAGGTGGCCACGTGGCAGCGTGTAGAGTGATAGTTTTTCGTGGGGTGCAGCACCGGCCAGCGGCAGAATGCTGCGGGAGGGGAAGACATTTCCCCTCAGTGGTTGCACCTATGGCTAATTTGCCTGAGGTTTGGCTTCTACCATCTTCTCAGCAATAATTTCCAACATGAATGTCATGGGACTGTGCACACAGCATCTTGGGGTGTGAAGTCAGCCCAAAATAGCATAATCCTCACCATGAGACTAGCTGACTTCTTGCTGGCTAGGATGCCTGCTCATAGCCTCTTTGGCCACAAAGCCGTTTCTTTATTCAGAGTTACCTATTCCTGAAAACAGCAGTTTGTGCCCTTCATGGCCATGACTTCTGCTCATTCCTTCCTTTCCCGGGGACGTGTATAAACCCCATGCAGAAGGCAGGAAGGTGCAATGCTTGTTGGACGAACATGCCTTGTTCCCTGTCTGCCCTGTACAGACCGACATCTCATTTGTCCTCACAGCGCATGTCCGTGGACACTGGGGCTTATGGTTTATACAAGAGAGTCTCAAACTTGCTGTACTTCCTATTCAGCTGGCGTCAGAGCTAACCAGGCATGGGCCTGTGGGGAGAAGCCTGGGCTTCTGCAGTTCCGCCCGGCGGCCCCTCCTGAGCTGTTCTCTTGGCCTGGGTTCTTATTCCACCTTGCCTTGACGTTGCCCAGTTATCACTCTATATTTGCCAACCTCCCCGATGATAACTTCCAAGGCTTTCTCCCCTGCGTTGTCCACAGCGCACTCCCGCACCCTCCCGTACTCCCTCCACACCTGCAGGGCTCACCCGTGGACTGCCAGTGCATAGCACCCCACGCCCAGACCTGGCATCAGGCGGGGCATTAGTGAGAGGGAAGAGCAGAGCTAAGCCTGGGCAGCAAGAGCCAGCTTCAGAGTGCATGTTCCCATGACGGTTGCAGAACCTTAGGCTGTGGGGAAACTTTCCCCAGGCCTTGCTCCTCTGGGTCTGTGACTGTCTTGAGGATTCAGTGAAAATAGGCACCATGTGCACAGCACAGCGCATGTGATCATCATGTGTGTAGCTTTTCTTCCGTCTTCACTGCTCTTTCTCCATCATGAGCACCAGCGAAGTCTCCTTGTCAGGGTATCTTACGGTGTTTTTAACAGAGAAAATGTGAGGAAACACCCTGGAAATTTCACCTCTTGGCAAACTTTCATCTCCTACAGAACCTGGCTGGGGTTCTTAGCTGTTGCTGGCTGTGTAAACCTTCCTCTTTGAAGGGTAGTAGGCATGTTATACTGTGAGTGTTTGAATATGGTTGTGTATGCTTGTGTAGAGCATGGGGAGTTCGCCACTGTACTGAATACGGTGCAAATCTTCCCTGCTTCCAGCACGGGGCAGGGTCTGCATCCGTGAATACAATGTCTCCCAAGTGCAGGTTGCCTAGATATTGGTCCAGGTGTGTTTCTTTCATGGAAATAGAGCTAAAAGTCTCCAGGGAACTCTTGAAAACCCTCACTAGATCCTGTGGCTTCCCTCTCGGTGTGAGTGCATTAGCTCCTGATTCACTGCGGGAGTCTGTCCTATGCTCCCCTGTTGGGTCAGGCCAAAGTTGCAGGAAGTCCCAGACCCGGTTTTGAGTCATCCAAATCGGCCCTACTTGCAGAGAGTTTTACAAAATGTCCCTTATTTGCAATGAATAGCCACAGCACAGGGTCTTTGGAGTCAGAACTAGATTCCAGTCACTGCTGGATGTCCTCAGCGAGCTAGCTGCTCTTTTTTTCCCACTGTTCTTGGGCCCTCATTCAGAGTCTCCTAGAGAATGCACTCATGTCTACTTTCCGATCATCGTGTCAGCTTATCCATCCATGGACCAACATTACCGGAGTCTGTAGTTGCGTGAAACCCTCAGTGCCAGGCACCATTCTGGACTTCCGGAAGGGAGAATTCAATCAGCAAACACTTGTCCTCTTGGAGTCTGCATTGCAGTGAGAGAAAGGACAATGAACAGTGAGAAAGAACTGCATTTAAGTAGGGACAGAGAGCACACTGAGGGCGGGGTGCTGGGGCTTTTTTAATGCTGCGTGGGGAGGGAGGGAGGGTCTTGCTGCTAGGGAGACCATTGAGCAGAGGCCTGAAGGCAGCAAGAAACCATCCCCGCCCAGGGAATGGCACATTCACCTGCAGTGGCCTTGACCACACTTGGATGCATACACAGCATACACCAAATGTCCGGTCATCCATCTTCCTGTCCCTGCATCACAGCTGAACCATGATCTCTGCACGTGAGTCATTCTTCCGCAGGTGAGAAGGCCAGGCAGGTCCCTCTTATCCTTCCCTTCTGTTCTTCAGTCTGCAGGACCTGTGTTTATTTCCACTCAGTGGCTGTGAATATATAGAGTGAGAGTCGCCGTCTGATCATAAAAGGATTCACACTAGGCTTTTGCTTTTATGAAGTGACAGACTTAAATAAAGAATAACTATTTCACAGAGGGAGTTGGAAGTTTATTTCTGCATTGCAAGCCATAAACTAATCAAGAGGATTTTACTAGTTTGGTGGATAATATGGGTCAACAAAACCCCAGCAGTTACTCTTCACACTTTCAATATGAGTACCAATATGCCGTCTTCACCATTCAGATGCCGGCATTTCAGCCTGAATGTCACTTTACATGGAAAGCGGTATTGATAAGAATTGGATTAAAAGGTAGAAAAAAAAAAAAAAAGAACTCCTAAAACACATGCACCACCATGGCCATCACAAAATGCCTTTGCTCAAACAGCCCTTGAAAACACTGAGGGTAAGGCAGCCTATTTTGGGGGTCTAGATCCGATTATAAATCCTTGGTAACGCAGTTCAAAATGCAGATGATGAAAGCAGATTATGTCTGGGAGATACTGTTCAACTCGGATCCCAGTTTTCTCTCCTTGTGAACTACACGTGAATTCCACTTATGGTGTCAGCACACCTGAGCCAGAGGTCATTCACCACTTAATAGGGCTAAATTCCTAGTTTTCCAAACAAGAACTCAGGTGTGGAGGAGCTTGTCTAAGGTTGGAAGGCAAAACCAGGTCCCTGATGTTGTCTGAAGCTAGGCAGAAACAGCAGCCAGCAACCAAATCCATCTCCAGAGACTCCACGATCACGGGCCCCACCCTGTTCCCCATGCAAAGTATGGCGCTGGGGCGTGTCCATGTGAAATCTCAGAACACACAGGCATCCGTCAGCTTTTCCCTCTTGTGTCCTGACCACACAGCTCACTGACACCATTCAGGAGTGACTTTGAGGAAGTAGTTACAGGGCCTTTGCACATGTACTTGAAGAGTAACAAATATAAACAGAGGCTTTTTGCAGAGGGCTGCGCAGTGCCAGGCGGTGGCGGCCCCTCACAGCTGTCTGCAGCATTTGTAGAAGTGATGCTCATCACCTGGCCTTTGCCATAGCGGCCCTGCCCTATTCTGGGGTCTAGCTGGCCAGAAGCGAGCACTGGAAGGGGAGTCCTCCAGCTCACGTTTGGCGGGTGAGGGTCAGAGTGCTGCGTCATTGGTGATGTCAGGGACCAAGACAAGAGAGAGGGGCTGAGTGAGGAGAGAGATCCCCTGCCCCCAGAGGCCTTGTGTGACAACACAGTTTGCTATTTTGAGAAGTTAGTCACAGCTCTCTGTGAAAAATGTATTTGTTAGGAAAAAAAAAAACAAAGGCCAGGCTCAGTGGCTCACGCCTGTAATCCCAGCACTTTGGGAAGCTGAGGTGTGTGGATCACCGGAGGTCAGGAGTTCAAGATCGTCCTGGCCAACACGGCAAAACCTCTTCTCTACTAAAGATACCAAAGCTTAGATGGGCGTGGTGGTGGACACC